TGTCTCACGAACTACTCTGTGGAGACTATCGCGTCACTTTCATAAACTACGTATCAACAGACACTTGATGTGCCGATACAACTTAGGGTCTGGACTATTACACACAGTCAGACACGAATGCACACCAAAATGACAGACCACGCCCACACCTGCACACAGCGATACATATGAGTACTATATAAGAATACCCAAACGTACCTCAGAGTGGGACGAGTGGATGCTCACGTGTGTCTCGGTCATAGATTCGTCGTCTGAAGCGATTTGATCTGTATATGCGTGTGGAAGGAGCGTGTGGGAGCGTCCAATGCTTGAGTATACACATAAATGTGCCTGGCTTAGAGGTACAGATATTGATTGAGGCACTGTCAGTGGCTCGTTATGTTGGGCATAAGGGAGTGTGGCTTCGAGAGGATCCACACTTTTAGTGAAGAAAGGAAGAGGTTCAGTCGTACGCTTGTACCAGTAAACACACATACAATCACGCATGTCAGGGTTGGGATCAACCTAGAAAATACGTGTCCCCTCAGACGTACCATTGGTGTGTTTGAGGGTCATGACAGTGAGATTCTTGAGTTCCTAATTCAGGCGTAAAGTAACGGACCATCCCCGCGATTATGGATAGGCTTCTAATCGCACACGAAATGTTGTTTCGTGTATAGATCACGTTCAAGCTTAAACATATCCAGTAATACAAAAGACAGGACAAGCTATCTAAAATGCTCAGAGGCTCATGTAAGTGGGGCCTTCGGGTTTGTGTTTCTAGTGCAGAACGTTGAAAACAGACATACACAGCGATTACGGATAGTACTCGTACCAACAAATGAAGACTCACAATCACATATCTTTCAACTATCTAGAAACAGATACCCTCTCTCGTTCTGTAGGTTTCGGAACGAATAAGAGACAGGGACGTACCATCTGTGTGTCCAAAGGTCAAGCACGTGGGGTCGTCGGGTTCTTGCTTTTGGTTCAATCCGTTAGACACCGACCAACTCAGCGGTTGATGTACGGGAGATGACACAACAGAGCGCACTGCGCGCCAGACAAGACGCAATATTGTGGATTAGGACTAGAACAGAGCAGAATTAAGAACCAATCCTTCAGATATGCGCAATAGTTGTAAATCCAATTTATATTCAATCTACAGAGGAATGATGAACGAAGACGACATGGGGTCGAAATAAGCCCATGGATCGGCGCTCAAAGTACTATACGACTGCAAACAACGATCAGTGCCATGTGAGCAATAGATACCGTTCCGTTACAATAGAGGCGGCAGAAGTAAAGAACACTGACGATGATAGTAAAGTACACTGACGATGATAGTAAAGTACACTGACGATGATAGTAAAAAGCACTGACGATGATAGTAAAGTACACTGACGATGATAGTAAAAAACACTGACGATGATATGTCAGAGCGCAATGTGGTTGGGAAGGTCTGATAATTCAGGCTAACTCTCGTACTCTCGGTATGATCTTGCAGTGCATATTGCTGGACAAGTACGAATACAACAAAAAACAAGCCGCCACCCCTCAAATTGTGCTAGTGCAAGAAAGGTATTTGACAGTTTGCAGCAATGAAAGTGTCTAGAGGTTTGCGTTCTACAATCGTGTTTTAGGGATAGTTGCGACTGTCAATTGTTTTGATAAGAAATAGGTCTTGATCGAATGAAATAGGGCAATAGGACACCTCCATGGTGCAACCGATGATCTCGACAATACCAGAAATCAGTCCAACCACTACACTCTTACACCCGAGAGTACGACCCGGGTGCAAAGGTATACCAAAGAAGCCTATCCTCGCCTTAAGTCATATACCTATCCTATATGCATATATCTATGTGCATATACATGTGCTACACATACATGTGGGAACATACCCTCAGTATCACACCGTGCAGAGGCCCAGAAATCGTGCATGCTGTGGCCATGCAACGGGTGGTCTCGTCGCACTAGAGCCATCCTGATGTCCAGAAAACATGTCTTAGATAGCTCAGCATTTCCCGGTACATAACCCTGTACAAATACATGTGTGTGTGTGCAAAGGAGCCATGAACACGACGTGATTCCTGGTGTAGCTGTGACATGTCAGCAAATGCGAATTCATGTGCATGCGTGCAGACACAGGTGCCGAAACGGACGGAGAGTGCATGACCCTTGTACTCACTAGTTCTAAGTATAGCGCACAGCCTTGTGCCCACCACCATATCCCTACCTCCACTCTAAGTACAGGCACCAGCGGTGTCGTATCCTCCATGGCCACGAGTTCGCTTTCCGTGAGATTGAGCAGAGCTTTCATCAGATCACCTTTGGTCAGCCTGAGCAATGCGCCTTTCCATTCGACCGTTAACTCCATGCTGTCCAGTTCATGCCCTTCTACCGGAATACACAACGCTTCGCCTTCTGGGAAGGAGTCTTCCAAATAAAAGTTACCCAATACAACCGAAGAGAACAGTTAAGTGCTGTACGTATTCATGGTGTCGATATATCCTCATATCGTTTATTTGTGTCATGACTAGCAAAAAGTACATCAGACTGTGATTCAGC